CACCAACCAACCTAAGGGGTGTCCCTTTTGGGGAGTCCAAAACATTTTCGAGGGAAGCAGATTTTGCCTCTGAAAGGGCGCCCCCCCACCCCATCGGAGGGGAGGGGAAAACCCCCACCACGACCCTGGGGGCTTTTGCTCCAACGTTACAAGTTTCACAAGCGCATCTGGTAGGGCCCTGGCCCTAGGGCAACCGGTTTCCCCCCCTTCTGGCCCATTCGAGGAGCAAAATGGGTGCGTCTTTGATACCCCCCCCCACCACAGGATTTGGGGGGGGGGGGGGTTCAGTCTCTCTCTCTCTCTCTCGCTCTCTCTCTCTCTCTCTCTCTCGCTCTCTCTCGCTCTCTGTATCAGTGCCTGTGCCTCTGCGAGCGTCGTATGCTCGCCCATTTCAATGATGACCCTGACGCCGACTGACACGCGACCGTATTGTCCACTGTAGGATTTGGAAGACATTGACATTGGGAAGCTGGAACAAGAGTGGGATATTGAGGACGACTTGGAGGATGACCTGCTGCACCGCAAGCCCGCAATGCCGGACATCCAGCCAGGCGGCAAAATCTCCGACGAGGTGTGTGCACACACGTGAATGTGCGTGCTTGGGGAGGGGAAGGGGGTGGAGAAATGGACACGTACGAGCTGTACCACGCTGCCCTCCTCTTGAACTCAACCCCATGTGCTCGGGTGTACTGACAGGCCATTCAACAACTGCTCGGGACCCAAAATGCGGGCAAGCCCGTGATGATGTTTGTGACCATGGAGGATGACGACCGCGAAAAGAACGAGGAACTGGCAGAGTGAGTTGTATGCATGTGTGTGTGTTTGTACATGTGTGTGTGTGTGTGTACATGTGTGTTTACAAGTCTTTGTGTGTGTGTGTGTGTGTGTGTGTGTGTGTGTGTGTGTACATGTGTGTTTACATGTGTGCGTGTGTGTCTACCTGTCTGTCATCCACGCAACTTTGCTGTCCAGTTTTCCTTGCTGGTCCTCTGTTTTTTCCTGCTCGGTGTTTGATGTCGACATGCTCGCTGCAGCGTTATCTCACAAACTTACTCCCTCTTCTCCACACCCGCCATGGCAGGATGTATGTGGCGAGCCTGAAGAACAACCACATGCCTGTCAAGTCGTTCTTCATCGAGGACGATCACTTTGGGCTCATTGTCGACGACGGCAAGTTTACCAACAACGTCATTGACTTTCTCAAGCGGCAAGATGAGGTGGCCCAGGTCAGCCTGGACCAGAAGGACATGCTGCCTCCGCACCCAAAGACAGAGTACGTGCATGCAGTATTGGGACGCCTTGTCACTCGGGTTGCTGTTGTGACGGTTGCTGTTGTCGCGGTTGTTGTCGCTGCTTCCCATGCAGCCGCTGTCTTTGTCTTGTCTGTCTTTCTGTGTGTGTGTGTGTGTGTGTGTGTGTGTGTGTGTGTGTGTTGTGTCTGCCTATCTGTCTGTACTCCTCTGCCTCTGTGCCTTGGTCTTGCTGCCCTTTGCTCTCGCCACCCCACGTACTGCTACTGTTTTGTTCCCTCCACCACCACGTCCTCCTCACCCCTTACCTGCCATGTCCCACAGTGCGCAGAAGCAGCAGCGGGAGAAGGAGAAACAAGAGAAGAAGGAGAAGCTTGAGAAGTTGAAGGCGCTGCACAAGAAGAAGCAGAAGCTCGCAAAGAAGAAGCGGCGTAAAGCCCGCAAGGCAAAGGACGACCTGTAGTACACACACACACACGCACGCACGCACACACACATGCACACACATGCACACACACACACATGCACACACACATGCACACACACACACACACGCTGTTTGCGCTCCATATGCTTGGTTGCTGCTGCCTTGAATGAGAGAGGGGGATGGACGTGTTTGTTACAGCGAAGGAGTTGAGAAGAGTAAAGAGGCAGTGATGCGATGCTTGCGGTGACATGACAGCTGTCAAGTAAGCAAAGGAAGGAAGCGAGAAGCAAGCGTGACGAGAGAAGCATTCACACATCACAACAAATCTACACAACAACAACAACAACAGTGAACACAAAGCACACCACCATCCAATACAGCGGTGCACATCATCATACAATGTCGTCTCCCCCATCCGCAGTCGGCGAGGAGAAGCTCGTCAGCCAGGGTGCAGAGGCGGTCAGTGTCTGTCTGCCCTGTGTGTGTGTGTGTGTCTGTCTGTCTGTCTGTGTGTGTGTGTGTGTGTGTGTGTGTGTGTGTGTGTGTGTGTGT